AGGCGAATTCGTCAAAGCAAGCAAGGTGTCATAAGGAGGGAGGGAAAGACGAATATCCGTCAGCACTCGCGAAGGCCCAGATAATGAAAGGAAAGACGTACCAAGAGCCCACTTGTCGTCGTCCGGGCGCGCAAAGAGGAACGGATGCGAGCACACCTTGCGCAGCTGCATGACCGTGTTCTGCAGCTTCATGTTGTTGACGTGCTTCGCTGGGGCGGGTGTTAGCACACAGAGAGAAGGGAGCGAGAAAGAGCAGAAGGAAGAAGGAAGGCGGGCGACGTGTAGAGCGCGGAGCGGAAGGGGAGTAAAGGGGAAGAGTACTAGCACGACGATGAGGAGGAAGGCATAGCAGAAGTAGAGACGACGGTCGGGGTGCGCGTGCATAGAGGCCAGTATGGGAGATGGTGCGATAAAAAGAATCAACAAAAAACTCACCAGCCCCCCGCCTCGCAAACGCCTCCGCCGCCTTCCTCCGTTCCTCCTCCTCCTCCTCCGCGTCCCGCTCCTTGTCCTTCCCCTTCCCGCGCCGCTTCCGTGCGCGCAGGGTGCGTCCAGCGTCTTCCTCGACGTCTTCGTCCTTCGTGCCGTCTGCCGCAGCCCGCTCGGACACAGGCGTGCTTGGAGATGTCAAAGCCACCGCCGAGCTCAACGCTGTCCTGGAGGTGAAAGCAGAGGAAGACGCCGCCCCCGCCCCGCCCGCCACCCACGCCCTTACGTCGCCCGCCAGCACCGCCTCGTACGCCTCCCGCTGCCACGCGCTCAGCCGCGCGTACAACACGTAGCTCTTCTTCGGCGGGAGCGCGGAGCCTGTCGTAACATCGCTGTCAGCTCATCGTATTCCAGAGATAGGAGGACAGTTAAGATAAAGTGGAAGAGAGAGAGGGGGAGGAAGGCGGAGGTGGACGGTGGATGAAGTAGACGAATATATAGACAGAAGAATCAGAGCGGCGGGGTATCATCGGACCCACGTCGCCGCGACGTTTTTGCAGCGAGACACGTCTGCCTTCGCCTTGACACCAGCCCAATCGCAACCGAGCCGAAGGCCCGTCGGCGGAGGCGGGAGAACAATACACCCTAAACAGGAAAGAGCGGGCGCCATGAGTTGACACGTCCTCCTGCACATCCTGCAGCCGTGACTAGCCATGGGGTGTATGCGCACCCGAGTCTGCACACGGCTCCGCACATCCGCGCGCGCGCCAGCTGGAGAGGAAGTATCTCGCTCTCGAAAGTGGGGATTGAGTGGGCTCTCGAAAACGGCGCGTCCCAAAAAGGAAATCAGGCGCGCTTCCCCCAAAAACCCGCGAAGCCCCAAATCCTCCAAAACCCCGTCAAAGAGACGGAGATCGCACCAAAAGAACATAAAAGTAGAGAAAAGCCACGCCGCCCCCAAAGATCGACAAAGACAGAAAGCGAAGCAGACAAAAAACGCACCCAACACATCCGCCTTCATCCGCCTCAGCAAAAATGGCTTGAGAATCGTGTGAAGCGTGCTGATGAACGTGCCCATGCGCGCGGAGGGGAGGAGCGCGGACATGCGCGGGAGGGAGAACCTGCAGACGACGTGAGCATTGGGCGTAAAAGAGGGAGGTTAGCAGGAGAAGGGGATGGGTCTGGGCGGAAGCGAGAGAAAGACTCGACGCATAGGAAGGAGGGAGCGTGGACAGAGGAGTGGTGGCGAGAGTAGGAAAGACGACAGGAACGACGAATCGATATGTGTACGGGAGAGTGGTGTAGTTCGGAGGAAACTCGGCACGTAGGTAGAGGAAGACTGGACAGAGAGGACGGAGAGAAAGACAGACAACGCACCACTCCTGAAACGCATCCACGTCGTCGAAGATGTCCGGCAGGATGAAGTTGAGCAGCGACCAGAGCTCCGCGAGGTTGTTCTGTGGGCAGGTGTGAGCATTGATTTGGGCGGGAGGCGGCAGAAAAGAAGATATCATGACGAAACAAAAACTCACATGCAACGGCGTCCCGGTCAGCACCATGCGCCCCGCGCTCGTGTAGCGCTTCACCTCGCGCATCAGCGCGCAGTGCATGTTCTTGAGGCGGTGGCCCTCGTCGACGACGATGTATCTGTGAGGGTGTATGAGTAAAGGAATGGGAGAGAAGGGGGGACAGATGGGGGGAGGGGGAGGGAAAGGAGAGGAGGGAGTAGAGGGAAGGGAAGGAAGGCGCAGGAAAGATAAGGTGGGGAAGAGCAGGGATGGTCTGGAGTTGGGGAGAACGGTAGGAAGAGCCCGAGTCGAGGAGCGGACAACGAAACTGAGCAGCTAGTTCTAACACTCACCCCCACGGCACCCCGCCCAACACCGGCCTATCCCTAATAATCAAATCATACGTCGTAATCACGACAGGGAACGCCGCAAAGTGCGCGTCGTGCGCCTTTTCGAGCTTCTTCGCGGCGATCTGCGCTTTGGTGAGGGGCTTCCCGTCGTCGTCTTCGTCAGCCTCTGTGTAAGGGAGCGTTAGGGCAAGTAAAGAGGAGGAGGGGAGGCGTACCGTCGTCGTCTTGCTCCTCGTCTTCTACAAGAATTAAGAAAAATCAGTATCGACGAAGGCGGGTGTGGTGATATGCGACCGACCCTCATCATCATCGTCCTCATCGTCGTCCTCCGCACGCTTCCGCTTAAGTCCCGCGCGCACGTTTCCTCCTCCCCCTCTCCCTCCTCCCCCACGTCCTCCCCTCCCTCTTTGATTGCCGCCACGCCCTCTAGTCGATCCACGCGCGGGCGAAGCCGGAGACGGCGGCACAGCACGCACAGAACTCGTGCGCCCGCTCCGTCTCGCGGGCGAGGCTGGCGGCGCCGCCGGGGCGGGGGCGGGTTTGGAGGTGGACGCTTTGCTGCTCGAGGCGTCCTTCCCTCCTTTTCCTTTTGCGCCTTTCGGCCTGCCCCTGCCTCGGGATTTGGCACTAGCGGACGTGTTTTTCGCTGTAGAAATAGACCCTGACGCGTTTTTGGCGCTGGCAGAGGCGGAAGGCGGCCACCCCTCGGGCAGGGGGAGCGCCGTGCGCCGCATCTCGGCGCGCTCGGCGGGGGTGCCGTGGTACATCAGGACGGGGATCTGTGTGGGCGGGTGTCAGTTTGTGGGAACGATTTTTTTAGAAAAGAGTGGAAGAGAACGGAGAAGGGAGAAGACGTAGGAAAGGCGGGCGTGCGCGGTGCTCTTGTTGTGCTGGCCCCCGACATGGCAAGCGTTCCACCGGTACGCCTGTGCATACGCCGCCCAAGACAGCCCACCGCCTGAGACAAAATCGGCGGGTTGTCCGTGGTTAATCGCATCAGCGGCAGTCCGCGATACCGGTGCATGCACGCCCAAGACCCCGCCCATCGCGAGACAAAAACGACGGCTGGCAGTCCCGACGCGCCTCCTCCTCCTATCCCCCTCCTCCCCCCCTCCTCCTCTTCCTGCCTTCCCCTCCAAAAACCCATCCCCCTCCCCCCAAAAAAATACACTCGTGAAAGAGAAAAAAAAACACTCACCCCCGGCGCGAACCTCCTAAACTCCTCCACCCAATTATGCAGCACGCTCAGCGGGCACACGACGAGGAAGGGGCGGGTGCCGGTGGCGCGGAGGTGCGCGGCGAAGGCGATGGTTTGGAGGGTTTTGCCGAGGCCCATCTCGTCGGCTGGGAGGGGTGCTAGTAAGTGAGGTGATACAGAGGAAGCGAGAAAAAAAGAGGGCGAAGGGTGAAGAGAAAAATGAAATAAACGGCCAAAAATAAAAGCTCGCGCCACGGCTCAAAACGCGCACGCGTATAACTCCCCCACAAAGAAAAATGCCTCGACCAACCCCACCGCCTTTCCCCTACATAGTGCGCCGAAAATACCGAATAAAAATAAAATGGAAGAGCGAAGAAGCGAAAAAAACGCCAAAAACGCACCCAAAATCCCACTAATCCCCTGCTCGTGCAGGCCCACCATCCACTGCAGGCCCTCGAGCTGGTAGTCCTTGAGCGTGGCGCCGGAGACGAGCGCGGGCTGGGGAAAGGCAGGCTCTTCCTTTGCGTCTTCTCCGGCCTCGTTACTTGCACTTTGTAGGGGCAAAGCGGAGGAAGCCTCCTCGTCATCCGAGTCCTCGACCGTGCGCCGCCTCTTCGCCGGACGGCCCTTGCCGCGTTTCTTCGGGGATTGTTTTTTAGAAATTTGTTTTTGAGACGCAACCCGTCGCTCCTCCGCATGCCTCGCGCGCGCGCCGTCCATCTGCTGCTTCAGGATCGTGCTGTAGAGCGCGCTGCGCTCGAGCACGTGCTCGAGGCGGGAGAGTTGGGTGGCGGTGAGTTCGCCTTCTTGTTCGATTTCGGTTTCTTGTTCTTGTTCGATAGAGACGTCTTGTTCGATAGAGACGGGGTCTTCTTCGGGAGGTGAGGAGGACGCGTCTTCCTCCTCGGTTTTGAATTTGGGGGAGAGGCAGAGACGGGGACGCCGCGTAAGAACGGGGTCTCTTCCTCCTCCCCGTGCGCTTCCGCGATATTCGCGTCGTCCGCGGTCGCGTCCACGTCCACGTCCTGCGCGTCGTCATTAAGTACGCGCCACACTTTTAAAAAAAAAAAAAAAAAAAGGAGACACACCTTCATCTCGTTCTCTCCGTCGTCTTCAGGCGCAGGCGAGCTCGCAGCCGTGCTCGCAGGCACGGACGAGAAATCTGACCACAGGCGCGCGGGCATCGGCGAGGACGACGCGGACGACGCAAAGGGCGTTCCGACACCCAGCGACGTGGGGGAGGCTGACATGGTGGCGAAGCTTTACACTCTAAGTCTTTGTGTCTTTTACTCTAGTCTTTAGTCGCGGTGCAAGCAAAAGCAAGTGGCAAACAGGAAACAAGAGAAAAGGAGAGATTTGTCAGGACGCGCCTGGCCCGGCCCTACACTGCACTGCCCTCCACACGCCACGTCACAAAGGCGGTGTTTGTGACGTGATTTTTAGGAGCCCCTGTCTCATTTCGGGGTTGTCGGTTTCGGGTTTCGGGTTTAGCTTTTAGCTAATCTCCTTGTCAACGGTTCGATGGCAGAGTGGTAATGCAGCCGCGTCTTGTACCGGAAGCCAATTACAGTATCTGCGGAGGTCGTCTGTTCGAACCAGGCTCGAGCCATGTTTGGTAGACCGTGTTTTTTTCAGTGTTGGCCCTAAGGTTAAGGCCTTAATTTGATTAAGGCTTATTAAGGCCTTAAGATAAGCCTTAACCGCCAGGCCTCCAGACCTTAAGGCTTAAGACTGCGGGCCGCCCCGGCCCGCACCGTCGGTACTGATCGCCCGGCGCCGCTTTGATCACATCTTTTTGCGCTCGCAGCGCTCACGACGCCCCCATGGTCAACGCACTGCAATCGTACTTCCACAAAGGCACGGAAAAACAGAACTCTAGCCACTGGATCAACTATTGCAAGGGTTGTGTCAAGCAATCAAGCGTAGGAAACTATTTCCTAGGCTGGAAATAAGGCCTTAAGTCTGCCCTTAAGATTAAGCCTTAACCCTTAATAAGCCTTAAGGGACCCTGGGCCGGGTTCTTAAGCCTTAATTGCCAACACTGGTTTTTTTTGCATCGGTCTGCAAACACTTTTTTTTGTTCGTTTTAAATTTCCTTCCCTCCCATCCCATCCCATGTCGCTTGATGCCTGCAGGCTACAGCTGCATCCATTCACTAATGCGTTATTCTTTTCATCGAATTCATTCTCAGGCTCTCCCGGAATAACACTTCTCCCCTTATTGCTTCATATTCCCATGTCACTGTCTTTCTTCATCATGGCTCGGTGGCAGAGTGCTAATGTGTCCGCTGCTTTTAGAGGTATACGAAGATTGCTTCTGCGGAGATTGCCTGTTCGAACAGGCCCGAGCCATAAGCATTATCTATTGTTGCTTTTTGGCTTGGCACTTTTTGTGTTCGGTGGAGATTTCCTCCCTTTCTTCAGTTCCTCAATGCCCCACTGGCTGCCTGGCATCCATTTCACTGGTGCCTTATTCTGTTCATTATTTGGTTCTCCCAGTAGGTAGGTAGGTAGGTAGCATTACTGTAACACCCCACGGTCCCGCCGGTATCCCGAACGAGAGTTTCGCATTCCCATGTCAGTATCCTTTCTTATCACGGCTCGGTGGCAGAGTGGTAATGCATCCGCTTCTTTTGGTACAATCCCTGTTTGTTTGCGGAGGTCGCCTGTTCGAACCAGGCCCGAGCCATTGCATAGTCGCAAGACTTTTTTTTGGTTATTACCCTGCTTGTCTCTACTGCCCATGGTGCGCTCGATATGAAGTAACTCTGTGTCTCTAAATTCGAATAACAAACAATCCACGCAGGGTATCAGTGTATGTATATTTTTAAGCGCTTATTGGTGATTTGTAGCGTGCTGTGAGCACGAGTATGTACAAACACCAATTGCGATTTTTGGATGAATTAAGTAGAGGTTAGAAGTCAGTGGAGGAAGGCTCGGTGGTGGATGGTCCACACCTGCAATACATGAACACTTGCCAAATCGCTTGTAGGAGTAGCCCGTTCGATTCGGGCCCGAGCCATATACATGCAAATCAAATCTTTTGCGAACTTTTTGGGTTCTCAAACACAAATGATGATTCATGCAACCCATGGCCACCAACACCGTAAGTTGTTTCAATGAAGCCTGTGAATGGCTTGAACCAGCTCAAAAATCCTCGATATCTCCTGCATACACTCAAGTCGTCAAGTAGGATGAGAAAGGCTCGGTGGTGCATGGTCCACACCTGTAAAACATGAACGGTCGGAATGTACGTATACAGGGAGCCCGTTCGATTCGGGCCTGAGCCATATGCCGAACGGTTTGGTTTTTTCTTTCCATTTCTGATCTGTGAGATGAGTAATGCAATTGTCACTCGTGTCTTCAAAATTCCAACTCAGATTGCAGCTTCCTTTGTACCAAACCAGATCATGGACATTTGGACTGATTCAATCCCTGGCATATCCAAACATATTTGAGGTCATAAGTGGAAAGATACTGGGTCGGTGGTGGATGGACCACACCTACAATACATGACTGGTGTCCAAAACTGTCTGTAGGAATAGCCCGTTCGACTCGGGCCCGAGCCATATTTTGGAAAGTTTCAATTTTTGGTTCTCTCTCTGAATTTCTGATCGGTGAAATGGGCAATCCAACTGTCAAGATTTTCAACCCAAGCAGCAACTTTGTTGGTCGTGGATTTTGGGACTGATTCAGGCAACATACTATCAGAAAAATCAAGATAAAAAGTAGAGGAATATCGGTTCGGTGGTGGATGGTCCACACCCGCAGTAACTTGTATGCTTCTTCGTGGGCTTGGATTGTCTGCAGGAGAGCCCGTTCGACTCGGGCTCGAGCCACATACGTCCATTTTTCGGCCCTCTCTCTCAATTTCTGATCAGTGAGTGCGACTGTAGCCCCTGAATCTTCATAATTTCAACCATGCAGGTCGTGGATTTTCCTGATGTTTTCGGTCTGTTCAGTCCTCAATTGAAAGTTTTTTTTTTCCATACACACGCATTCACAGTCTCGAGTAGGTGATGAAGGCTCGGTGGTGGATGGTCCACACCTGCACCTCATCATACTCGCTGAAGTCAGATTTTGTTTCTGTAGGGTAAGTCCGTTCAACTCGAGCCCGAGCCATATGTTGGAGTGTAGCGTTTTTTTTTCTCCCTAAAATTCTGATCGGCGAGATTCAACTGTACCACTGACCCTCCCTCCTCTTCAAATTTCTGCAACATTAACGCGGTTTTTTCAACTGATTATCTTGTCAAATCTACTCGAGGTCACAACTTGGAAGGATATCGGCTCGGTGATGGATGGTCCACACCTGTGACTTGTTCTGATCAATATATGAAGATTTACAGGACAAGCCCGTTCGATTCGGGCCGAGCCATAGTTTGATTACGAATATGCCTTTTTATTTCTTTTCCAGTGCATTCGCAGCACCCTCCCCGTCTCAGCATCGACAATGGCCTTGAAATGCAGTTGTAAACTCTGCTATTCTGCATTTTATCAGGTTCAATGAAGAATTCCTGCCCAAAATGAAGATAACAAGTAGGTTGGCAAAGGCTCGGTAGTGGATGGTCCACACCTGCACCTCCGTTCATTTACCCCGCAATTGCAATTGATCTGAAGGGGAGATGCCCGTTCGATTCGGGTCCGAGCCATAAGTTGGAAAGTCCTCGTTTTTTTTGTGCTCTCTCAATTTCCGATCAGTGAGTCCAACTGTAGCCCCCCCATCTTCAGAATTTCAACCATGCAGGTCGTGGATTTTCCTGGTGCTTTCGGTTTGTTCAGTCATCAATTGAAGTTTGTTTTTCCATACACAGGCATTCGCAGTCCCGAGTAGTTGATGCAAGGCTTGATGGTGGATGGGCCACACCTGCACTTTGTACTCGTTAATTCTGCTATTTCTGGAGTAGCCCGTTCGACTCGGGCCCGAGCCATGAGTGGAAATTTTTCGTTTTTTTTCGGTTTCCCTCTCTCTCTATAAATTTCTGATGTGAGATGAAAAATCCATTTAGCTTCAGATTTCAGCTGAGATTGGAACTTACTTCATATGAACGCCGGTTGGCAATTTTGGACTGATTTAGCCATGGTATTTTCAGGCATATATATTTGAGCGCACGAGTTAGAGGGATATCGGCTCGGTGGTGGATGATCCACACCTCCACTCATTGTGAGGGCCCAGGTTTCTGGAGGAGAGCCCGTTCGACTCGGGGCCCGACCATTATTCCAAATGTAGGATTTTTTCTCTCTCTAAATTTGTGATCTGCGAGATCCAAAGGCTGTACCACCTTCCTTTTGCAAAATTGCAACCATGGTTCAGACCTTTACATCGTACACCGAACAACTTGGAGATGTTTTTGATCTGGTCCATCCTCGATTTTCTATATGGACACATTGACAGTGTTGAGTAGGTGATGCAAGGCTCGGTGGTGGGGAGTCCACACCTGCACTCCATACAATGGCGAGCACCTGTATGCAGGACAAGCCCGTTCGACTCGGGCCCGAGCCATGTTGGGAATTTCCACGTTTTTATCGGTAAAATCAACGCAACACACACAGGCGAAGCACACTTTTTTTTGATTTTCACAGCAATGATCCTGGGGCAATGAACATAACCAAGGTGTGGATGACTTGAACACCAAATGGAACCAGTTTTTTGAGCTTAACGTCATAAAGAAGGGGTCGAGGATGAGAAAGGCTCGGTGGTGGATGGTCCACACCTGCAATACCTCAGAGATTTGAAGAATTGTTTGTATGAGAGCGTGTTCGACTCATGCCCGCCCCATATGTTGGAACATTGCATTTTTTTCTGTCGCTAAATTTCGGAGCAACCCAACTGTCACGCCCTCTCATCTTGGAAATTTCAACCATCGCTCCAACTATACTCCCTACGTTACTGAACAAGCTTGAAAATGAATTCAGTCTCAAGTTTCTATACAGATAGGTGCTGGGCGGTGGATGGATGGTCCACAACTCCATTCATTGACATGGCACCCGAGGTTTCCAGCGGAGAGCTCGTTCGATTCGGGCCCGAGCCATAACCGGGGTGATGAGTTCGCTTTTTCATCAGCAAAATCGACTCAACACCCACCGGCCAAAACACATTTTCTTCTTGATTTTTTGCAGCAATGATCCGTGGGACATGAGCACAGTGCACACCCAATGTTGCGAATGACTTGAACGGGAGCTCGTGGCAGGTCAGTCCTTTTGAGAGTAGTTGTGGACTGCTTGATGTAGAAGACCCAGCGAAATTACCGACTGTGCCCTGGCTGGTGCCATAATTGGCTTCTCGATAGCGCCTCGTCGTTAACGTGTCGAGGCGTGGGCGCAGACTTTGATGTTGGGTTAGCTTAAGTGAGATGTGATCGACGCCAAAAAAACGGGTTATCATTTATAATATTAAACCACATTAACGCCCCGAATATCGTGCGACATCGACCTAAATGCAGGATCCACTTCCACGGGTGGACCAGCCACAGGGCTTTGGAGGTGTGGGTCCATGCACATGTACAGCGCGGTAGATACGGCAACAATGTCGTACAGTGCTCACCTCGACCATGCGCGGGAAATTTGTATTTGGGTGGTCCACCGTCACGAGAGCCGGACGGTGGACTTCTTCAGTCTATGCAATGAGACCCATACCGGTACAGACAATAAGACTCACGGATATCCATTCGCACCGCATTGTCGTTACCCTCCGATGAAATTCGCGACCCGCTGACCTCACCGTACTGGCGGCGGTTGAGGTTGTAAAAAAAAGCGTCAAAAGGTACAGGGCCAATAAAGTAGCAGCACACCGTCGGTACTGCGCACGGTGAGCGATACGCCGACAGTCAAGGAACTAGGAATCGCACCATTCCTGTCGTTCTTGATGATATATGAAATGAGGGTGACGATAGAGACGACGCTTGTTGTGGACTGAGTTTGGATTGTCTGAATAATGAGTCGCTGAATCAGACTGCGGAAATCAGAGTCAGGCCATACATACTAGTAGTACATGTTGCTTACTTTTGGGTTCCTTTGAAAGCCGTCTTCGATGTATGTAACTTCAAAATGAGAGCGCCCGCGATAGATATATCTTTGCCAATGTCTCAGCATAAAATATAGAGGAGTTCGTGACATCTTACCAGCAGAGGCCGAAGAAGTCCACCATATGAGTGCCGACGTCAGTTCATCTGCTGCTTCAGGATCGCGCTATAGATGCACTCGAGCAGGTGCTCGAGCCTGAGAGCTGGGAGGCGGTGAGCTCGCCTTCTTGTCCGATGGAGACTGGGTCGGCAGGGGGGTGATGATGACGCGTCGTGGTTTTCAGCAAGGGGTGAGGAGGACGCGTCCGAGACGAGCACACCACGTAAAAACAGAGTCTCCTCACCCCTGTCTTCCGCGAGATTCGTGTTTGCGTCCACATTCTGCGCGTCTTTAGTACACGCCACAAAACCTTTCCCAAAAAAAGGAGACACCTTCATCTCTCCATCGTCTTCAGGCGCAGGCGAGCTCGTAGCCGTGCTCGCAGGCACGGACGAGAAATCCGACCACATGCGCGCCGGGGTGGGCATCGGCGAAGACGACGCGGATGAGGCGAAGGGCGTGCCGACGCCCAGCGACGTGGGGGAGGCTGACATGGTGGCGAAGCTCTAAGTTAAAGTACCAAGCCTTTGTATCTTTTACTCTAGTCTTTAGTCGCGGTGCAAGCAAAAGCAAGTGGCAAACAGGAAAACAAGAGAAAAGGAGAGATTTTTCAGAGCCTGAGCCATAACCTGGGAGGTGAGTTCACTTTTCATCAGCCAAATCTACCCAACACATCCACAGGGCGAAGAACATTTTCTCTTGATTTTTGCAGCAATGATCCGTGGGACATGATCGCAATGCACGCCCAATGTTGTGAATGACTGGAACGGGAGCTCAGGCAGGTCAGTCCCCTCGGATGGAGTACACTTGATTGCATTTTGCTGGATGGGATCCATCATGGGGAGTGCCCTGCAAATGGAGAGCTGGGAAAGCACCATATGGTGAATGAATACTCTTGATATG